GCTCCAAGAGCTACACCAGGGAAGATGTATGCGTTGTTGCCCTGACCCGGTTTGAAAATTCGCCCATCCATTTCCACATTCTCAAACGGCGACCCTGAGGCGAACAGCACAGATCCCTGAAACAGGCTGCACAATACAAGAATCTCCGAGCAAATTACTGGAAAAAAGCTGCTTTACTGCGAGCTCTTCAGTTTCTTAGTGAAACTATCAAGTGTTATCTAGGGAATCGTGGAATTGTTGGACTGAAACGTCATTCGGTGACGGTTGGAGTCCTCGTAACAAAATAGGGCCCAAGATATGAGGTGCGTGGGAGGGGAACAGCCAAGTGGAATCCCACCTATGCGATTTTCCAATGGAACATGTGAAAAAGAGTTGAAGTAGGTCTAGTTTCTATAGTTCTGGATGCCTCTTGGGTGGCATTGGCTAAAGCTGGAGTTGACTGATGCCGACGGCCACAGTAACTCTTTCGCTATGTCCAGCAACTTATTGTAGGTGAGCTCATTCATGTCCCCTGAGTTGAGAGAAAATGTTGTGTTAAAAGTGGAATTCCCTGCCGTGAAGCGAACAGTTATACCAAATGTTGACCCCTGTGCAAACCTCCACAGGTTGCTTTCATTGTAATGTTGGCTCCTCCTCCCTTAGCTCCAGTAATGTTGTCCAGTGTTGATGAAGCTGCAGAGGCCTGCGAGCATATATTTGTAAACTCATGTATTGATTGCTTTGAGAATGTATAGAAGATTATCGCCCCTGTTAAAGTGTTCCAATTATCTGCACAAACCTTCTAACACTCTGAACTTTTGACGGGAGGGTCTTAATTCCAACCTTTCAATAATCTCAATGTCAGAAGCGATATTATCATAATGCCAATATCAGGAAGAAACATCGAAAAGACAGTCTGTGAAGTACTTACGTTAGTTATTCGATAAGCATCCTCCGCTGTGCATTCTGCCTTATCCGTGGGATTTGAAAGCGCGAAAATGATAGGTCGTTGGTTGATACGGGCCATTTCAGCGATGATTTCCTCAGAGAACGATCCCCCAACAGTGGATGCCCCTTAAAATTGAAGCTACTGAAAACAATTCTGAAGGGGTTCAGCAAATAATCTAAGAAAGTTTTAAGACCGCTCGAAAACAGTGAATCAAGTGATCTTCAATCTCAACATCAATCGTTTTTCCGAAAAACTGATCAAATGATCATCCGAAACATATCGCTTAATTACATGGTCCACTTTTTTCCCATAAACTTTGTAGGTGAATGTTCGATAGAAAACTCACCAATTATACCGTCTGGTTTCACAATTTTTATCACCTCCAGCAAGCTTTTCGTGTCATCCATATCCTAAATCATACTTCTAAACGTACGTAAGAGAAAGTGCAATGATTGGAGGGAGAAGCTCTGGGGTAACAACGATAGGCACAGCATCCACCCAGGGGTCTAAACCACGGGTGTGGGTACTTTCCCCCGAAAACCGCGTCGCGCTTGTCACACCTGGACGCGCGTTATGAAGGAAAGGGTTCAAATTTGCAGAGAACTTGCCCTGAGAACTCGGGGAGGAGTACCGCCGCTCATAGACAAAGACTCGCCTAATGTCCCATTGATCCAGCTCGGCTACTTTGGAAAGTTGGCTCAACTGAATCTTTTTGATAAGCGATAAGATCACCTTAGCAAATTTCACATGGCGGTCTTGTAGGTTATTGAGACGATTCTTCGTGATCAAGCCATCAATGTCCATCAAATAGATGTTACCACAAGCCTCCTCTTCACTCAGACCTTCCTCAGTCATTTGCTTCACACATAGCTCTGCCACTCCGGTAGCTGCCTGGAAGTTTTTTCTTCTCTACCGTTTCTGAGCTCTACGACATCGATGGAAGATTACCGCTCCAGCTCCGAAGAAGACAAATTTGTGTTTGTGAAAATCGCGATTGGTAACTCTAGTAGCGGCCATGAGACCGGCCACCACTACGGCGGCAGTTCCTTAAAAGGGTGCAATAACCCGGTTTTCATAAGATCCTAAAGAGATTAAGAAGTTATTTACCTTGGATATCATCATTAAATACACAGTACACGTTCTTGTACCTATCCAACAGACGGAATGCATTTTGATTAGCGAAATCTTCAAATTGGATCAGTGTATCACGGCCGAACCTGAACCAGTAAAAGCTTATCTTCAGCAGTTGGTCAAAGAATCACTCATAGTTTCTGTAGGCACATCTTCAACAACCTAAGACGAAAGCTCTTGCTGAAAAACCTTAATACCAACCGCTTAGTACAAGCCTTCATGAAATTATCCATCAGAAGATCATATTCTGGTCCACGGACTCGTTTTCGTCTCAACCCAGTATAGAACGGATCATTCAGCAGACCCTGAAGCGGTTTGCCTTACTATATAGTACTACAAATAAGTGGGCTTTCGGAGTAGTGGTCCTTGTCCACACATATGGGTAAAGCCCTACCTGATTGTCAGTACCGACATCAATGATGACGGGCAAACACCATTCCGGTTGCACGCCGGCCAAAGCTACATACAAGGCTAGCTTCCCGACAGGGATTCCGATACCATAAGTGCCGAGGTCACCGAGTCCAAGGATTCGTTCGCCATCAGTCACGACAATCGCCTAAATATTATTTGACGTATACAAAAAACGAAAGTAACTTAGGCGAAACACAAGAAGGATTCTTTTTGCTGGCACCAACGCATTTTTCAAGAATCGATGACTGATTCATGAGATTCCATCTGTTCATCACCCTTATGACACTTTATCGTTCGCATATGCCTCTCGAACCCAGCATTGTTCTACTTCAAGGAAACGATAAATGCAGGAGGGAAAACAAGTCCTATGGGCAGTTAGCAATTTAATTGGCATTTTATAATGCAGGATAGCAGTTAATCGCTTCCTGGGATGCATATATAAGAAGTGAACGAACGCTGTAAATTTTTATCAGTGGGGAAAATGGATTTTATGTAATTTAAAAACTAGGAGTAGGGCAGCGGTTTCCGTTCGAAAATGGAAGTCGTTCACGGGGTGGAGCTAAAAAGGTCGAGAGTATGGGTGATTTCAACAAATTCATGGAATCGAACGGCTTGTCATGTATTAGCACAATGTGTCGACGGAGTCGCACCCTAGCGGGTAGAGTGGAGAAAGCTGACAGATGTCGTGGTCATCTGAAGCATTTCTGGCAATGATGCACTTCTCCCAAACATGTCTAATTGGAAGTATGCTTCTCAACAGTCTATGATAGGAAAGGAATGGAGGCTCATCAGAAGGTTAGGCATACATTTAAAATGGTTACCAAATCATTCGTATATATTTAAGAGACCGATCTACTGTAATAATAGCGCCCAGCTATTCATAGCCAGTCGTAACGGCCCAATCTCCCAAACTCCCAATCTCTTTTTCACGTCATTACGGCGAATAAACCCTATAGAGCGATGGACAGCTTCCTTGTGGTGGAGTCCCGTGGAATCGAGTTCTCTCGTCAGTTTCTTTCTTTTCTACACCCATCTGCACAAGCGAACAATTGAATAGAACCATAAATGAAGTCAATAGGAACTAACCTTCACATTCTTTGTCGGCCAGTTGCTTAAAATCTGATAGATTTTACTAATGCTGTTGTCGTTGATGGTTACATAAAGACCTCTGAAAATGCTGCAATAACGCTTGGAAAGCGAGTTTCAAGAGAATTTTGGGACTCACTTGGGATTTCTATAGATAAAACCGAATTTTTGACACGCCAAACCGACTGTAGGGGTGTAAACAATTGGCATTAGTTCTTTGATGTTATCGCAGAGTACACGATAGAAGAGTTTTTCGGTTCGATCTTGTAAGGCGTCCAATTGGATATACCTGTGCGGACCATTCGATTAACCACAGTAACTGAAATTCTTCAGCTACTCACTTTAAGTCAAGCACTATGATCAGCAAAACAACTCAGTATAGGTGGAGGTTGAGGTGTAGAGGCAAAGCAATATCCTAACATCAGAAAACTGGCCGTTGAGATGGTCGGCTGACGCCAATGACCACCTCGCGGTCGACTAGACGGGAACGGGCGTACCATATTTGTCGTTTCGGCAAATTTTTCTGCAGTCGCGGAGGGAATTGTCTGTGTTACCGCATCTAAACTTTGGCCAAAGCGCAGGAGTTACAAAATAGACTACCCTGCCTCTGACGCGATAGTTGTGACACACTACACCAAAATCGCGCTCCATACTGACGCGCGCGTGGGATTTCCGTGCTGTGTCCCCCTGGCCGCCTTGTTCACCTCAACGCTCCACCTTTGGCTTCAAAATGCAGGCGAAATGGATCAGAATCAGTGGATATTACAGAACAGACTTCGCTAAGTCGTCAGGCTGCTTTCGAAGTTTGGCCATAACCCGATAAGCTTGCTGTTCTTCGGTCATAAACGCTGGCGGCAGAAGGCCATGAATTCCAAGATACTGGCGTTCATACAGTGAGAAGGCCATACCCTGAAAATTCTATAGGTCAAATCAGTGAGGGCTTAATTCATATTACTCCTCAAACGCCACCTTATTGAGTCGTGGTGTCTTGAGCAGTTCTACCCCTCTCTTGGCTGGTGTTACACGTTCTGGACGATACAGCTTGTGCAGAGCCAGTTGCTTCGGATCACTTAAATCATACTCATGGACCTCATGGACCGCAGTTGAACTCGACGACAGTGAGCGCACGCCATGCTTGACCCTAAATATGCTCATTGAGTAAATCCTAATTCAACTTATACTTCTTCACTCGTAAGAGTTGAATACTACTCGAGCCGACTTCGTCATTCAACTCGATGGAATCGATCTGATAATAGGTTGCTTTCAAGGCAAGATACTCGGAGATACCCATATATTTCATGACTGTATAGATAAATACACACTGGAACGCTCCAGTGACTTGATCGGAGGTTTTTATAACTGTCTATCTTGAAAGAATCTATCGACAATGGTATAATATTCGAAACCTGTCGCTGAAACCCATTTGGTCTCGGATCCCGAACGATCCAGAATTTTTTTTGGATGACACTCGGTTTATTTTAACGTTTCTGGAGTTATCCTGAACGTGCATTAGGTCTACACAGTGTATGATGTCTCCGGAAGATGAAGGAACCAGATGGGGAGGGAGTTATGCGATATGTGAGATGATTCTGCATCATTTAGATGTGGTCGCAGAGCCGCCACGAACTGGATGGTCTCTACTTTTACAACGTACTTGATTGAGGGAGTGAACCCCATACCCCCCTAGTATTACATCACTAACCCATCTATACTGTACGTAATACTCAATCATACTCAGCATTCTTATATTTGTCTGGCCAAAATGCATATGGTGGATAAAATTGCGTCGTAAAACGCATCTGTTCTGCCATGGTCGGTTCAGAGCTCCTCCAGTTCCGCCTTCGCACATGACTGATACTATGTGATCCAAGTGGTCTTAGGATCAAGAATACAGCGCAGGAGGCCAGAAGGACGAGACCGACCACTTGCCGAAGACAAGATGGCATGAGCATTATGTTTGAATTCTTCCCACTACCACCTCATGCCGTGCCTCCAGCACTGTACAACAAATTGGATCCCTGTTGCACCCACACGATCGCCCACTGGTTGGTTAGAGGCGTCCTGGCAGGAATTTAAAATTAACCCCGTTCAGGTTCTAAGAGAATTGAAAATAGTATGGAAGTTCTTCATCCTATTTCTTCCCTTCATTACTATTTAGATGAGCGTCGTAATATTTTTCAAAACACTACTCTCTGAATAAAACTGCAGAAAACAAGGTCGGTAGAATACTACTCTGAAGAAATAGCTTGCAAGTGGGGAATGAATCTGAAAAAGATCAACTCACGTCTCGTGCTGCAGTGCACGGAGCATTGTGGGTACCTGAAATTGCTGGGTTTGAGGCAATACCATAAGTACCAAAATGCCCTGATGATGATTTAGGGCAAAAATTGATCAAAAAGGCTATCAGATCCATGAAGCGCTGTAACCGTTACGTCAGAACAACGAGATTTCGAATAAAGAAAAGAACAGGTTTGGCCGACGGGTAAAAAGAAAAGAAAAAAATTATAATAATATACAGGAGGTTCTGACAATGTAGGAAAAGGCTATCATCACGACCTTCAGTGACAGGAATAGCGAGGGTGACGGAGGAAAGGCAGGAGTAGGAGGTGGAAGGGAAGGAGCAGGAATGAAAGAGCTAGATACATAGCGGCATTGAAAGCTTCTAAGAAATATTCGATAGAGGGGAAGAGAGGGAATACTAAATGAAGGAAATTGGAATACATGGGAGGGATTGTTGAAGAGTGACTGGGCTTGAAATCAGAAGCAATTGTTGATACACCTGGCAGAAACATTCAATAATTAAGAGGCCTTATTGAATTCTAAAGCAATTCCCTAATGAAATCTACCGTAGTCTGGCGAAAATACCCCCAATAACATTTCACAAGTGCTGAGTATGCGCTGCTATGGAAGGGATGAGGATGTGGGGAAAAATTCAAAAGGAGGCCCGCACAAGCGACTTTTGTAGTATCGCGCGGCAAATTGGGCGTCATGTACACGTGGATACTTGTTAAGGGATGACTTCCGGTTTAGGCTTGACTTAGGCCCGACATCCCTTTCACCTCTTATGTGAGCAACAAACAAGTTCGGGCCTTTATGAAAATTGCAAGCAATGATAAGAAGAAGTACGTAGAAAGTGATAGGAAGTGATAAGAATTGATAATGACTATGTGAAAGTTGGAATCGGAACTTCTGCTCGGACCATTGCTCCCTCATTTCACTTCTTTATAGAAGTGCCGCCCTTTGACGTGATATAAAGCGGGTATACAATAGGAAGCAGAGAGTGGTGGTGGCCGACTGTCAGCGAGCGTCGAGTATAAATGCACTTCTGAAGAAACTAGCGCCTTCAATACGATCCAACACAAACCCCCGCTCCGCCCCTGCCCCCTTCCTCCGCCTCTTTAGGGGATCTCCGTGATAAATCTCTGTCCCCAGAGTTTTCTCCCTCTTCTGAGTCTCCTGGGACTCAGATCAAGCGGAATAAACAGAATCACGAGGCACTGAGAAGGGCTACGGGTGGGGCTTTTCAGTCGACGATGAGCGAACAACTATTCTAATGTAATGTCCTTTACGAAAATAATGAAAAAAATATTCGCAATGGCAAAAATAGCTGTAGAATGAAGATACTGACGATGGATAACGCAAAATGATAATGAGTGGTAAGACATAATAGTAAACGGCTGCAAAGATAGATTTGCAAGAGAGCACTACAAAATAATGGTAGAGAGAGTCCATTAGACTTCGATCATAAAGGCACATCCCGAAAGGCCTGAACGGCAAGTCGCGGTCTTCACACCCTCGAGGGGGACTATGTAGAAGGGAAGTGAGAGATGATTGGTGAGAGGCGGAACCAAGCCGTTCAGTTTCCACCCTCCGGAGGACCAACAACCAAGAGCTTACTGGTATCCCTCAAATATTTGTATAGACGAAATTTATGATACTGCTGAATTATTCGGAATTAGAGAAACCATGACTTGTAGTGATTTTAGAAGTGTAGCGGAATAACATTTATATTATGTGTTCAATAGCAAGAATACAACTCATCAAGAATAGTTGGACGTACGACTTAAGAGCCTAGCTCAAGCCAACGGCTCATTTGGCGAACTGCTTATTGCTTTTTGCATTTAGGGGAGAAATTTTGAAATATGATTAATGGATAGACAAAGTGAGGTTGACGTCAGTCGTGGGCGGTGATGAGTTAGCCTTTTTCTAGGACTAATTGTATGATGTATTCCGACAAACTGGTTGGAAATCATTCCTCTCAATACCATGTTTGGATATTTTTCCGGTTCAGAAAAATGAAGAGAAAACCTAGAAAAAAGTGAACAAGCATTGAAGTGAAGCACAAAGAGCAGAAATCGGAAAAACCTTCATGCTCTTTGTTGCTTGATAACTGACCCGTGAAGGTCTATCCCCAAAATCAACGCATCGCTTGCCGCGCGGCATGGTAAACGTCGCGTGCACAGTCTGACCTCTTTTGTGGACGATTTTTCCGTCCATACATACAATAGAAACAGTATCGTGAGACTGACGAGTGGGCTGGTTAGTTGTGACAGGGAGGTGTCGGGAAATACTTGAAAAGGCGGAAATTCCATTAGAATAGCACGACTGACTTTTTTCATTCAGTTCCGCGTATTCCATTACGAACATTAGTAATGCCATGTTCGGACAGAGCGATTAATCAAATGTTTGGCCAAAAAAGGCAGTTCACATCACTTCCAATTCAACCTTTAATAGAATGGTGTCTCAGACATGAAAAATCAACTATCAAGACCAATATATGCTTATGCGAAGTATTTGAAAATTAGGAATCCATCCCTTTGAGGGTGGAATCGATAGCAATATGAAGTATCAGGGTACAAGTGTAAATTAGCTTCTTCTGACGTGAGAAATACATCTGCAGATTTCAAAAGAAATTTCGATCAGACTTGAAATTCGATCAATCACTTTCACCCGAAATAAATAAAAAGAATTAACTCTCATTTGACACAATGCAAGCAAATTTACTTAGGCTATCGAAGCTAGACTATGAGGAAGCGTACGGTCGGCAGAGTAGAAATGGTCTGTAAAGGGGGAGGGGGACAGTCGAACGAAACGCTGTGCTGCGAGACAACTGGCCAAGTATTGCCGCGCGAGATCGGGACAACTATTATGTCCGTTAAAGCGGATAAAGAGTGATGGTAATTCTTCAGTTGCGAATCAGAGAGGATACATAGAGGGTGACACTAATTGCAAGAGAGTGGGACAGAGCTTCTTTTCCCCACTGAACATTTACAGCCCTGACCTATAGGGTCATTATATAGGAAATGGGAGCATGAGCTACCAGACCTACGTGAGTATATTAGACCTACGACAATGTTCGTCGTAAAGTTGTGCAAGGCACTAAAGACTACCGTGTGTGTGCCGATTCGTGCGATTCTGGGTGCGCGCGGCAAATTGCGCGGCGAAATCCTGTGCCATTCGAACGACTCTGACGCCTATTATTGGGGCACAAACTTGAATTAGAATAGTTGGGTATGGTCAGATGAACCTATTGACCTACCCTACTTCAAGTTTGTGCTCCAATAATAGGCGCAGTTGTTTGAATCATCACAAATTCCGCCGCGCAATTTCCCGCGCGCACCCAGAATCGCACGAATCGTGCGTCCCCCAAGACTACCAGATCCCCACTCAGCACGTTCGTAGAATGGGCAAGATAATTGCGCTCTTACAACCTTCAAAAGCTCAGAAAAACATCTACGGCGACTTGACCGTTTAATGCGTCAGCGTCTCTTTTTTTTTCATTGGCGCTCTTAAGATCGTTGATGGCGCTCGAGGTGATTCATGTATGTGCGCAGGATGACGTGAGCTTCCATGATTCATCCACAGCCCTATGAAATCAGTGAGTCAGGCTGAATTTCTAGAATGCCAAGAAAAAAGGTGTGAACGAGATTGATCGTTCAGGAAGGTTCATATAGATTTCTGGGTCCAAGGAAACCTTCCGACATCCTCCGTTAGACCTCTTCTTGAGCCAGCGACTAGTTGTGGGCTCAGAAGTTGGCTCATCTTATGCATTCGTTCTTAGGCGGCTGAAAGTAAATCATAGTATGCAGAGATGCTGAAAGGAACGGTCAAGACGCTGTGGATGTTCTTCTGAGCTTTTCAAGATTGTAAGAGCGCAATTATCTAGCCCATTCCATGAACGCGCTCATAATGGGGAGCTGGTAGTCTTGAACTTTACTCGAAAAAACCTCAGCCTTCGTTCATTGGCCCTCAAAAAGAGGGTACGTTTGAGACTTACTGTCACGATATGGTAAGAAAAAGGCTCCGGAAGTATACACAGCGCTAGAAATAAGGACTAAAAAAGGGAAAGAATGAATTTCACTGCGATTCCATCGAGGAGGATTTCCATGGTATCGCGGTGAGGATGTGGAACACCATAAATGTAATAAATGGATTCCGATAAATGTCGGTTAGAGAAGAGATTGAAGGTAAGAGATTGGTAGTCACAAGAAAAACGCAGAGTGTTCAGGATGAAAACTCTTGGGTTTCCCTTCTTAGCGTAAAGTTTTCTGTTGTAATTTGTTTGTTGTCAAGTCCTAAAATGTGTTTGATGGTAAACCTCCGCTGCTAAGTCGACACGCACATATGGGGGCGGGATGGGAATTTGGAGGCGTTGTTAACCACGGTTTCAATCCCAATTTGCTTATGATTAACGCCGAAATGATGCCATATAGCACCAAAAAAATGTCGTATAGCAAGCTCTTTCTACTTGAAATCTTCACTACATCAGCTTCAGGTTACACCTCTCAGTGCGTTCATGGCATTTGAATGAAAGAGCGAGAGCCCCGTTTTGTGAACCTTTCCCATCCATCAACCATCAGCTTTCCACATGAGAAGCGATTTGAGAGGAACCACCCACTTCAGTATCAAACAAGATCATTCACAATCAGACCGCTACGGAATTTTTAAGCCTTCAACCTTGTCGGCAAACGAGTTTGCCCAGTTATCATACCATCAAGCTTAGCTACCCAGCTATTTTTATTCCACTAAACTGGAAAATTCTCTCAAAATTTCCATTTGTTTCTTGTTAATTCGGTTTATGGGAGCCACGATAGTTGGCGAATTACTTCATGTGGAAATGAGTATACATCAGAAGGTAGTGTAAAAATTAAACCCTACCCAATTCGATAACGATATTGTGAAGGAAATACTTGGAGTTAAACCTGAAACATCCAGAAGATTCTGAAGCTTCCAAGACTGTATCCCGCGCTCTTTCCCCGCGCAGTTTGAAAAACAAATCGATTTTACGCACGCGTCATCAGTAGCAATCC